GAAAAGGAGCCAATCAGGTGACAAGACGAAGCGCTTAGGCGACAATCCCGGCCACTGACGGGTCAGGGGGACGGTATATGTTAAATAAGTGACGTGTCTGATGACTCCAGGCTCCCGATTGGCCGAAGGTTTAGTTTTGAGGGTGGCATTTAGAGGGCTGGCTGGTGACTGGGCAGGAGAGGCCCGGTGGGCGGGGCGCGTGGGTTCAGCCCGGGCGCATGCGTGGGCTGCACGTGTGCCCGCTTGCCCGCTGCGAGCTGTGGCCGCGCCGTTGGAGCCGGAGCAGAACGGAAACTGGCCATGTTAGAGGCTGGCGGGTGAACCGGCTGTTCCCGCGGTGCCGCCGGCTCTGCTCGCCTCTGGGCGGCCACCGTCGCTGGTCTGGGCATGAAGTTTAGGTCTCGTTTGAAGATCTTTTATTAAATCCAGTGGGTAAATAGGAGGGAATTGTTTTGTGAACTCCGCCCTCTACGAGATACGTCTATTAAGAGCAAGATAAATAAATCTGACCCTCAAGCTACTGATGCGGGATTTATTAGCTCCTGTGAGATACGTGGGGGAAGTGCACCTGTTAGCTGCCCAGCACGGTGCTTAATTAGATGCGAGAAAAATGATTTTTTAATACATTTAACCAGTGCCCCCTGGTCGAGCCTGGAGGACGGCTGCAGTTTATCCTTAGCTTTAATCCCTGATAAAAGCGGGGGAACGGCGGGGACAGAATGCCCAGGCAAAACCCGGCGCTACTACTTAAGTATCCTCTGAGCTTGGAGAATGAAACGAGCCCTTGTGCATGAGAAAGGGGTCTAATGTAAGGTGTTCAACTCGCCACTTCCTCCTGAGGGCCTGAGAGGACTGTCCCCACCGCCGCGGAAATGACTCGGACGCGTGAGCGGCTCAGGGGACGGCGCGCGGTGAGTGGGGCTGCGTCGCTGCTGCTTTGTCTCCTCCTCTACATGTTCCCCATTAAATGTGTCGTCCCCCCCATTAAAGAGCTAAGTCTAGAATATATTAAAGAAGTAAACCAAGGAGCTAGCCTTCGCCAACAAGTTTACATCTTATGCCCCAAAGATAAACTGCCCCCAACTACAACTACTGAGGATGGGCCCCGGGGTGACTTCCTTCTGTGACATCACTGACCTTCTGTGATGCAGGCCCAGTGCAGCACTGCGCCCCGCCGTCGCCTCCTGAACATCTGACCGAATTTCTCTCTCTCTCCTCCCCCCTCCCCCCCTCCCTCCCTTCCTCCCTTCCTTCCTTCCTCTTTCCTCTCCTCCCTCCCTTTCTTTTTTCTCCCCTTTCTCTCTCCTTCCCTTTCTTCATCTGTTCTCTCCCCCCTTATCTATGAAGCACCTATTTAGCTACAGTTAAGGCAGTGTAGCTTGTTCTAGGTTGAGTAATTTGTCCTTCTTGCCTTCAACTCCCTTATAATCTTAGAAGTGAAGATCTAGATATGAATGACTGGAATTCAGCACTCCCTTTCTTAGGTCCCCATCAAGGTATCAGTGTCTTGAAGGAATTATGGACTTGGAAAAATGCAGAGAAGGAACAGTAGTTGAGGGTAGATACAGCAAAACTCCCCATTACATTTTTTCGGGGTGATAGATGGCATGCTCCCAGAGCTTGTCAGGTGTAAGAACTTCAGGTCAGGCCAGTAGAGAGACCAGTGTCTTTGTGGTTGTGTCATTGTCTATAGTTTTTCTCTCCTCCATGAAACTGGTCCTTTCCTCTTTGAATTCCCTGCCCTGAAACTGGCAGCATATATTCCCACCAGTTGTTTATAAATCGCCCCTGCCACTCTCCTCCAGAGCAGTTACACAGAGTGCTGAATCTTGCTAGCACCAGCCCCCTCAACATCACCCAGCCATGGAAACATCCTCCAGCGCTCATTTAATGAAGGTATCTTCCTCTCTGCCTTCTAATGTTTGGGCCCTCCCCCATCTTTAAAGCAAAACAGACCTTCACTTATCCTTGCTAGATGGAAAGTTGAACGGTGGTAAGGATTCATACCATTCCCAGGTATTTCATCACATCTAAGGATTCTAATGCTGTCTGAACATGGAAATTTCTCTGGGTCCTCTGGAGTGGTGCAATCCAATGGATATCATTTTTTCGCCCTCAACGAGGCCCACTGAACTCCAATATTCTGTGAACTCGAAAGCTGGCAGAGGGCAGCTGGGCCCAGCCCCATTGTCCCTGGGTTCTCTTTTGCTGAGCTATTTGTTCCAAGTTCCATTCTGCTACCTAGGCTGGAAATTCCACACATGCTCAGCTCAAAGGAATGCAGCTCAAGCTGGCCAAAGAGCTTGCCAGGAAATGAGGAGCAACTTTGCATTTGTGGCTTCTTTTCACTTGTGGCTTCCTCTCTCGCAGCTGTGAGGCAGACTATGCTACTGCCGAAGCTGTTCCACCAGCCTTTTCCAGTTGGAGAGCAACTACTTCCAGGTCACCTCTACTGACTTCTACAAGCAGCCTGGTGCCTGACCTTTAAAGGCCCAAAGGCCTTTCATTTGACATGGTATTTAATGCCTTCCTGGTATTTCCATGACTTGTTTAATCCCTTCATTTATTTACTCAGGTATTCACTCACTCATTCATTGATATAAAACATTATTTAATGAGCACCTACTACAGCGGTGGGGAACCTTTTTCTGCCAAGGGCCATTTGCATATTTATAACATCATTCACGGGTCATACAAAATTATCAACTTAAAAATTAGTCTGCTGTGTTTGGTCATATTTAATTAATCTCCTAATGTGATGGCTGGAACTGCTTCTCTTTGGTTAGGCCTTGGCAAGGCCAGACCTAAGGATTTCTTGGGGTGTATATGGCCCGCAGGTCAGACATTCCCCACCCCTGACCTATATGCCAGGCCCTATGATAGGAGTTAAGGACTGTAAATCAAACATAGGCCCTGCTCTCACAGAATTTACTGTGTGGTAAGATGGTAGCTAGAAGCAGTTACACATACAATTGTAGCACATTTAAAACCCTTGCAGGTAGGAATGGTGTTGGGAATACAGCGTGCATCACACAGATGTTTGAGTGATCCTTGTAAAATGTGAAATGTCGCCATTAGTCCTTAATTTTCCACATTAACAGGTGAATGCACAAACCGCAGACTATCTAAAAGTGTTCCTTAAGCCCTAGCCAGTTTGGTTCAGTGGTTAGTGTCGGCCCTCTGACTGCAGGGTCCCGGGTTTGAGTTCAGCCAAGGGCATGTACCTCCATGGCAGGCTCCATCCCTGGCACCGGCTGGGGCATGTCTGGGAGGCAACCAATTGATGTCTCTCTCACGTGGATTTTTTTTTTTTCTCTCTCTCTCCCTTCCACTGTCTCTGGAAAAAATAAGCAATGGAAAAAATATCCTCAGGTAAGGATTTTTTTAAAAAGCGCAGCCAGCGTGGCTCAGCAGTTGAGCATCAACCTAGGATCTAGGAGATGGCGGTTCGATTCCCGGTCAGGGCACATGCCTGGGTTGTGGGCTTGATCCCCAGTAGGGGGTGTGCAGGAGGCAGCCGATCAATGACTCATCATTGATGTTTCTCTCTCTCCTTCTCCCTCCCTCTCTCTGAAATCAATAAAGATATATTTCTTTAAAAAAGTGTTCCTTAAGATTGTTCCCTGTTGGCTTCAGAACACATACTCTGTCACGTAAAGAATTCAACCTCAAGTCCCTCCTCTGCCATCCCTAACATTAGGCCCTAGCTGGAGGATAAGTGGACTGCAAGAGGAATAAGGCCCCAGGCACAAATAGCTACCGAGAAGAGCTT